CTGCGCCCGTCGTATGCGTAATGGCGACATAGTGTCAGCGTAGTGCCGTGGTGGGAGGAGCGCATGCGTACTGTTGTGACTGGACTGCCGCATGCGCAGTGCCATTCCTACGGGTCGGGCATATGCGCAGTGCAGTGTCGGGACAGACGCAAGCGTAGTGTTAAGTGGAGAACAGCGCGTACGTCGAGAGGCGTAGCGTGATGTGGTGATATATGCGTGTCTAGTGCAATTCTAAGGCGCAAGCGCACTGCAGCTTTGAGACCAGTGCATGCGTATTGTAGATTTCAGAAAGCGCATGCGTAGTGTTGTGGCGACATCGGCGCATGCGTAGTTCAGTTCCGAGGGTGGCGCATGCGTATAGCAGTATAGGACGAAGCGCACGCGTAGTGCTGTCTCCAGAAGGGTGCATGCGTAGTGCAGCTGCAAGATGGGCGCATGCGTAGTGCACGTCTGACACTGCTGCATGCGTAGTGCACTCCTGACACCGGCGCATGTATAGTAGTGAGCTGAGATCGGCGCATGCGTGGTGCAGTGTCGACAAAAGCGCATGCGTAGCACTGTCGCCAGAATGGCTCATGCATACTTCAATTCTAAGATGGGCTCATGCATATTGTAATTTCGAGACTACCGCATGCGTAGTGTTGTGTTGAGGTCGGCGCATGCTTAGTGCCGTTCCGAGACAGACGCATGTGTATAGCAATGTCGGACGACACGCATGCGTAGTACTGTCTCCAGATAGGCGCATGCGTTCTTCAGTTATAAGACGGGCGCATGCGTAGTGTTGAGTCAAAGGCGGCGCATGCGTAGTGAAGTTCCTAGATGGGCGCTTGCGTAGTGCATGGTCGGATATCGCGTATGCATATTCACGAGAAGAAATCGGAGCATGTGTTCTGTAACTCCGATACTAGCGCACGCATACTTCTAAGTCGAGATCGGCGCATGCGGAATATAGTTCCCAGAACCAGCGCATGCGTATTGCAGTTTACAGATGGGTGCATGCGTAGTGTTGAATCACGACTGGGGCATGCGTAATGCTGAATCCAGATCGGCGCATGCGTAGAGCAGAATCGGTATTGGCGCATGTGTAGTGATGATTAGAAATCAGCGTATGCGTAGTGCAGCTCAGATACTAGTGCATGCGTAGTGGTGTGTCGAGACATGCGCATGCGTATTACTGAGTTGAGATCGGCGCATGAGTGATGTAGTTCTGTGACCAGCGCATGCGTATTGTACTTTTGAGATAAGCGCATGCGTAGTGGTCTACAGAGATCAACGCATGCGTAGTGCTCAGTCGAGATCAGCGCATGCGTAGTGCAGGGTCAGAAATTGACGCATGCGCAGTGCTGTCTTAGAGTGGCGCATGCGTGCTACAGTGCTAAGACTGGCGCATACGTAGTGTAGCTCCGAGACGCGCGCATGCGCAGTGCAGATTTGAGAGCGCATGCGTATCGTGGTTTTGACACAAGTGCAAGCGTAATGTTGTATCGAGATCGGCGCATGCTTTGTGCAGATTCAAGACTGGCGCATGCGTATTGTTGCTTTGAGACAACCGCATGCGTAGTTTTTATTGAGACTGGCACATGCGTGTTGTTGAGTCGAGATCAGCGCGTGCGTAGTATTGAATCGATCACTTGTAGTGCTTAGCATAAATACTTGCTGTTTTTAAGTTGTCGGGCACATGTTTGCTATTACATCACTCTGAAACATCACCACAGTATCACTCCAATGTCACAGCAGTATCAATCCTCAGTATCGCTCCAACAATGTCACTCCTCAGCATCACTCTTTGATGTTGAACTCCAGTGATACTCCAACATCACCCTCCAACGTCACTTCCCAACATCATTCCAGTGTCACTCCAATGTCACCCCAGTGTCACACCCGAAGCATCACCCCGACATCACCCCTATATCATCACATCACCCCAGTGACGCTCCCTGATGTCAACCCCAAGTGATACCCCAACATCACTCACATTGGGAGTCAACCCAGTAACGTCACCCCCAACATCACCCCTCAGTGTCACTCCAGCAATGTTAACCCAGCATCATCCCCTGATATCAGCCCCAGTGATACCCCAACATCACCTACCAACATCACCCCCACATCATAGCAGTACTACCTCCCAGCATCTCCCCAACAATGTCACTCTTTCATCTCATTCCCCAGAGATACCCCAATATCACCCAATATTGTCACTGCACAACATAGACACAGTGTCACCCCAGTGTCACTCCAGTGTACCCCCACCAGTGTCACCCCAACAATGTAACCCCAATATCACTCCCTGATGTCACCCCCCAGTGAAACCCCAACATCATCCCAGTGTCACTCCAATGTAACCCCCCAGCTTCACCCCAACAATGTCACCGCAGGGTCACTCTGTGATATCACCCCCAGCAAAACCACAACATCACCCCACAGTGTCACTCCCCAACGTCACTCGGTGTCACTCCAACATCACCCCCCCCCATCATCACACCAATAACATCACCTCCTGTAATGCTGTAACATGATGGAAAACAACAGTGATAGTAGAGAAGCAAAGTCCTAGGCTGCAGTAAGTGAGGACTGTTCAAATGCAGCAGTCACAAACACAGAAACAAAGAACAAAATCTGCTTAACACTGGAAGAAGTCATGCAAGCAGGGACCTCCAGCAAAAGCCCCTCATTTCCACTGCCAACATTACACTAGGCCTGGGAGGCGGTGGATCCAGGATCCACCCCTTCTGTCACTCAAGTGAGTTTCATGCACCTGAGCTCCTCTGGTTTGTCCCTATTCAATCATTGTTTCAAGCCACGACTTAGGGTTTCCACTACACACCCCCCCAACAATATCACTCCAGCATCACTCCCTAATGTCCCCCCTGTGATATCCCAACATCAACCCCCAGAATCACACCCCAACGTCATCCCAGCATCATCCCAGCGTCAGCTCAGTGTCACCCCCCAGTGTCACTCCAGCTATTTCACCCCAGCATCACTCCCTGATGCCACCCTCCAGTGATAACCCAACACCACCCCCCAACATCACTCCCCGACATCACCCAAGCATCACCCCTATGTCACCCCAGTGTCAATTCCAGAGTCGTGCCTACAGTGTCAACCCCCCAGCATCACACTAAGTCACCCCAGTGTCTCCATCCAGTATCTCCTTCTGATGTCACGCCCCAGCGATACCCCAACATCACCCCCCAGTGTCAGTCCCCGTGGTCAGTCCACAACTTTACCCCACTGTCATCTCAGGATCACTCCCTGGTGTCACCCCAACTTCAGTTTGCACTATTATCCCTCTAGTGTTACCCTAATGTCCCCCCTCCCAACATCACTCCAACATCATTCTTGCTGTCACCCTCCCACTGTTCCCCTGTCCCTCCCTGCCCCCCAGCCCTCTACTGTACACTCTCCCAACGCCCCCTGCTGGTGCTGGCCCCCAGCAGCAGTGAGGTGCTGCATGAGCAGTTCTGTGTCACCTCCAGTGTCATCTCCACCAGCACCTGTGGAGACAGTCTAGCACCTTGTCCTCCCTGTCTCCCATGTCATCATGAGCCCTCTGTGTCCCCCTGTGTCACCATGTTCCCTCTGTGTCCCTTCTGTATCCCCCCATGTCCCCTCCATGTCTCTGAAACCCTCTGTGAGCTTGTGTCACACCAATGTCTCTTTGTCATTGACATATTCTCTCCCAGTGTCCCCTCTGTGTCTCCTCCCCATCATGTCACCTTCACGTCTCCGTATCCTCTCCATATCCCTGCATCCCACCAGTGTCTCCATGTCCTGGGTCTCGCCATGTTCTCACGACCTTGCCATGGTCTCGGCAGGCAGCACAGGGAAGCCCACGTGGCACACCAGTGCCCCCACTGCTGTCCCCACGGTCACCAACGCTGTCTCTGTCACTGTCCCTGCTGTCACCGGTGCTGTTTCTGCCACCTCCTCACAGTTGAAGGCCACTGGGGACATGCCCCTGGGGGGATATGAAGACATCGGGGAACACTGGGGACACTGAGGGGACAGGTGCCCTCACCGAGGTGGCCCTGGCCCTGTGGAACTCTGTCCCTAGGGGGGTGCTGGATGGTGACGATGCCCTGCATCTCTATGTTAATAGGTCTTCCAGGTTTGTGGATGTCTCTGGAGCTGCTCATGGCACACTCCATAGCTCTGAGACCCACCTGGATGTCTCTGAAGTTCGTCATGAGGCCCTGAAAGACTTCTGAGGCATACAGGGGGCACTGGGTTCCACATGAGTGAACTAACATGTGGCTGCTTGCCAAGTAAACAAGGTTTGGGACAGCAGCTCCTAGCGGGGCTGTATAAGCATTCAGACACCGATAACCGATTGTTAATCTCCACCTTCCACCTGGTTTTGAACTGGCCAAACAGGCGAGTTACATGGGGAGTGTGTTCTGGAAATGATTTGTGTTTTCTCCAAATCTGCTATGACTTCAGAAATCCCACATCATGCTGCAGCAGAAATGGGGTACAGTGGTATGTTAGTGACCACTGATGCAGGGAGCACAGGGGCTGTGTGAAGTACACACGCTGCAGTCTCCCTATTTCTCTGGGGTTAGGGATTGAAACTTGACCCAAAAGGCCATACACTGCCATACAGGCAGGTGCTAGGTTCACCCACTGAGAATGTCAAATCCTGAAATGTTTTCACAATGGTCTTTAATTGCAAAGAAAGTAGGTAACACACATTTCTCACTAGAGAGCCATAAGCTGTCCCCGTTAGTTTGGCAAACCTCACTCGTTCCAATCACACCGGTAATCTCAACTTTGCCGTCCAGGCTGCACACTCAGCTTTTCAGCATCTTGCTGTATCAGTATTGAAATTTGTGCTCCCCTATCAGAAATTTTACCAAATGCCTTTGAGGACAAAATTGAATCAAAATATGCGTGCCATTATTGCTCATTCACTGATAAAACTCCCCTTTCTGGACAGGCAGATCCAATCACCTGCTTGTTATTAGTCTTTTTTTTTTCTTCTTGTTTACAGTCTGAAGCAGTGATTGAGCACCTGGTGAGGGGTGTGGCCAGCCCTGCCAGCACAGGTGGAAGCAATCTACCTGTGGGACCGGATAGGGCTGAGCTTGGCTCCACCCCCTCCCTGCCCATATTTAAGGGCTGGGAACAGCAAGGGCAGCATTCTGCTTGGGAGCTGCCTCCTTGGGATCATTGGAAGTAAGTTCTGCTCTTTGGAATTGGGGTGAGTGATTGATGCTTTGTTGCAGGGCTCTGGTCTTTCTGTTTTTGGGATCCTAACTGCTTTTAAAGGTAGAAAGCTGTAAGGGCAGCACCTCTGCACGGAGACTGCTTCCTTTGGGGTGTGGGCTGAGTGTTTGCTTTTGGAATGGGGTCATTGGTTTCTTCTTTATTGCTGGATTGTAATTTTACTTTCTGGAGGGCTCCTGACCATGTTTAAGGTCGGTCAGCAGAAAGAGCAGCAACTGCACCTGGAGACTGCTTCCTTTAGAGCGTAGGGTGAACCCTTGAAACAGGGTGAGTGATTCTTTATTCCAGAGTTGCAATATCTTGTTTTTGGGAGGATCCTGACTCCACTTAGGGGCTGGTAGCCTTTAAGGTGGTATCCATCTTTAGAGACTGTCTTCTTGGGAGTGTGGGGTGAGGTCTGGTCCTTAAGAAAAGATGAGTGATTCCTTCTTATTTTAGGGCTGTGTCCTTTCACTTTTGGTTTTTGGGGCATCCTGACCACATCTAAGTGCTGACAGATGTAAGGGCAATGTTGATCTCTGGAGACTGTCTCCTGTGGAGCATGAGTGAGTTTTGGCCTTTGAGAAGGGTGTAAGTGGTTTCTTCTTCATTTCAGGGCTGCAATCTTCCCTTGTGTGTTTTGTGTGTGGGTTTTTTTTTTTTTTTTTTTTTTTTAGTATCCTGACCACTTTTAAGGGGTGGAAGCCATAAGGGTAGCATCTGTACCTGGAGACTACTTCCTTGGCAGTGTGGGCTGAGTGTTCATCTGTGGAATGGGGTAACTTACTCTTCCTTTATTTCAGGGCTGTTATGCACTGCTTCCAACCATGCAGAGTTGTTTAAGGGCATTCTGTGCACCCTTAGGTGTAATAAGTCTTCATCTTTATAGGAAGCCAAGGTTTGTCCTCTTCTGGACCGCTGTACTCAGCATCAGCCCAGATATCTCCATCCTAATTGTCTGGAGATGCTGTTAGTTTCCTAATCTGTACGACACCCGAACCCCAATTCCTCTTCCTCCCACCCCCTGACCTGCATTCAATGCTCTGCAGCTCTGGTTCCCAACAGCGTGATGAAGTGAAGCCCCTGCTCTGCTGAATACTGGGACTGGCCCAGAGAGGCTCTGTGACGGATGTGGATTATCCCAGCTGGAGCACCTGGTACCATTGGTGGTGATCTTGTCCAACTGCCACACAACGAACAGGAACATCCACAGCCAGATCAGTGCCCAGAGCCTGACCCAGCCTCACCTTGGAAGGGACAGGGCATCCATCATGTCTGGGTAATCTGTTCTGCTGTGTCACCACCATCACTGTACAAGATTTTCTTCATATCTAGGCTAAATCTTTCCTTGTTCTTCCCTTCAGGTGTTGAAAGGCTGTTACCAGATCACCTCGGAGCCTTCACTTCTGCAGGTTGAGCAGCTCCAGCTCTCTGTCTTTATAGGAAAGGCGTTCCATCCCTCAGTTCATATCTGTGGCCATTCTCTGGATGTGCTCCAACAGCTCCACGTCTGTCCTGCACTGCAGGCATCCACATCCACACACAGCACCTCCAGGTGAGGCCTCCCAGCGCAGAGCAGAGGGGCAGGACCGCCTCCCTTCGCCTGCTGACCACACATCTTTGGATGGAGCCCAGCATACGGTTGGCTTTCTGGGCTGGAAGGCACATTGCTGAGTGCCACTACTCAGCCTGTTGAGGTCCCTCTGGATGGCATCCCGTCCCTCTGGTGTGTCACCGCACCCCACAGCTTGGTGTCATTAGGGTGCACTCCACCCTACTGTCAATGTCACTGATGAAGGGGCAGTCCTGGGTGTTTGTACAAACTCAGCAAAGAACACCTTGAGAGCAGCCCCACAGAGAAGGACTTTGGATCCTGGTGGGTGAGAAGCTGGATGTCAGCCAGCAGAGTGAGCTTGCAGCCTGGAAGGCCAGCTGTGTTCTGGGCTGCATTAAAAGAGGAGCGGCCAGCAGGGAGAGGGAGGTGATCGTCCCCATCTACTCGGCTCTTGTGAGGCTTCTTCTGCAGCGCTGCATCCAGGCCTGGGGCCCCCAGCACAGGAAGGACGTGGAGCTCACGGAGCGGGTCCAGAGGAGGCACTGAGATGATCAGATGGTTGGAGCAGCTCTCCTACAAGGAAAGGTTGAGGGAAGTGGGCTTGTTCAGCCTGGAGAAGAGAAGGCTTGGGGGGGACCTCATTGCAGCCTCACAGTACTTGAAGGGGGGAACAGCAGGAAGGGGAATGGCTGTTTACGAGGGTGGATCGTGATAGGACAAGGGGGAATGGTTTTAAACTGAGACAGGGGAGGTTTAGGTTGGTTATTAGGAGGAAGCTTTTCATACAGAGGGTGTTGACGCACTGGAACGTGCCTCAGAGTCCCTTCCAGGAGGATCTGCTCCATGACTTTTTGCAGCACAGAGGTGAGACTGACATGTTGGCAGTTCCCAGGGTCACACTTTATATCTGCAGTAACAGCTGTGCTGTCACCTTTTTTCTGCTCACCAGGGACTTCACCTGACTTCCTCGACTTCTCAAATACCACTGGGAGTGGCTCGGTGACTGCAGCACTGAATTCCCTCAGAGCTCTGGGACTTGTCTCATCAGGACCCAAAGACTCCTGGATGCTTGGGTCCTCAGGTGGTCCAGAACCTGATCTCCCATCACAGTGTGGGATAGGGAGGTGTCTGTGGGACCGGCATTGCTTCCTCAATCCCCACCTACCAAACCAAAGGTGAGGACAGTGTATAATGAGCAGTTATCAGAGAAGATGGAAGATGGATGTTGTTGGGTACCTCAGCCTTCTCCTTGTCTGTTGTTCCCAGCTCAGTGCTGCTGGTAAGCAGCATCATGCGCAGAGTGCAGCCACGTTGATCAGAGAAAGGAGTGCAGGTTTGTGAAAGAGGCACATCTGCAGGGCAGTGCCTTCATTACTGCGTTGTGTCCCACAGGTGGCAGCAGGCTGCGGCACTCCCGAGTGCCGTAACGACTGCATGGAGATGCGTGGCTCTTATGGGAACAGCAAGGAACCAGAATCTGCATTTCCTGGAATGCCCGGAACCCCGCTTTGCTGGCTGGTAATTGTCTGCCCAGCAGGTAAGGGCAATGCACACCCACCAGTGTTTACCCATTCCCTAGCATGGCACAGCACGGTGCTCCCAGAGCTCTTCATTGCACTTCGTGGTGCCCTGGATGCTGCCTGTCCTTTTCTTTCTGTGTTCTCCTTGTCTCCGGCCTTTCACTGCAGTGTTTTCATTCCCTTTGCCCTTGCTGTTCCCTACTCCATTCTCTTGCCCTCCTGTTTTTGTGTTCCATGCCACGTTCTCTTGGCCGCTGCCCTTGGCTTTCTTTGCCGCATTCACTTCAGCATTCAGTTTTGGC